GAGCGGAAGCACGGAATTGAGGCCAGCGCTGCAGCGGGAGCACGATTCGGAACGAGCGGGGCCCGAAAATGAGGCCGGCGCCTCAGCGAGAGCAGCATTTGGGAAAACATGCAGGCGAAAACCAAACTCAGGGGGTACCTGTGTGTAAAAAACAGTACGCGGGGGGTGGTCGGACACTCCCAGGCCGTCATCAGCGGAAGAGGGAGAGTAGTATTCATATTGAATAATTGTAGAGGGAGGGGGAGGAGGAGGGGGAGGGGGAGGGGGAGGAGGAGGAGGAGGAGGAGGAGGCGGAGGAGGAGGAGTAGGAGGAGGAGGAGGAGGAGGAGTGAGGACGAGGAGGAGGAGGAGGAGGCGGAGGAGGAGGAGGAGGAGGAGGCGGAGGAGGAGGAGGAGGAGGAGAGAGGAGGAGGACGAGGAGGAGGAGAGGAGGAGGAGGAGGAGGAGGAGCAGCGAGGAGGAGGAGGAGGAGGAGGAGGAGGAGAGAGGAGGAGGAGGAGGAGGAGGAGGAGGAGGAGAGGAGGGGGAGAAGAGGAGGGGGGAGAAGAGGGAGGGTGGGAGGAGGAGGAGGAGGAGGAGGAGGGGAGGAGGAGGAGAGAGGAGGAGCGAGGAGGAGCCCAGACTTCCAGCGTGCTTCGGACTTTAGGGCGTCGCTCCAGGGGGGTGGGGGGGGGGGGCGGTCAATATGGGGGGGGGGACAGTGCACCTCGCGCGGCCCGACAGGCCCCCCTTTTGGCCCTGGAGGGCCGCTTTCGGGTACCCTGCAGAGCACCTGCCCTGCAGCCCTTGCTGCCCCCCCCCCCCCGAGCACGCTGCGCCCAGGATAGTGCAGGAGCGAACAAAAGAAAAAACGTAGGGCAGGGTCGCGCCGCGTTGTGCCGCGGCGGCGACCCCAGGGCGGGCGTGCAAGGTGGAACGCCGCCTTGTGGCCCAGAGTCGGCCCACAGCCAATGGTCAGAAGTGTCGTGTGCCCCGCTTCTACTGGACTCGCCGCTGGCGCGCTCGCCTGCGGCCGCTGACTAGAAAGGAATGATCAGGCGTCTCGGAAACGTGTGATCGCTCCACGTGGAGCGATCCACGGGGTGTCAGAGACCCGCGCCGACGTCATCGCGACGCGAACCTGTCGCACACACATGGAGGGGGAGAAGAGGGAGGGGGGGGAGGAGGAGGAGGAGGAGTCATCAATCCGCCTTGGTTCCGTGAGTGCGTTGTGCGCGAGAGCGTTCATGAGAGACGAGGCTGGCCCCGCGGACTGGGTGGGGGGGCCATGTTCCTCTGCGTGGCTGGGCGCGCACGTCTTTTTTTGTGGGCTCCCCAGATGTAGCCAGGACCCCTTGGCATCGCTCGGACGTGTGCATTTTTTCTTTCGGCGAGGACCATCGAGGAGCATCCTTGATCATTTGGCGAGAAAACCACGCACGAGACCGAAAGAAACACAGGGGATGGACGTCCGCGCGATGGCCAGTTGTGGGCTCCCCAGATGTAGCCAGGACCCTGGTTGAAGGGAGCCGGTTGGCGAGTTGGGCCCGAAGCATCAAAGAGAGACCCAGGATGACTTGACCAGGTTTGCCGCAGTTGGTGTGGCTTCGGGTGGCGGCAGCTCCAGTTGGTGGATTGGCGCTTGGGGGCGTCCCACAGTACATATCGCTAAACCAGGTCCTACTACACCCAGTCCTGCCAACGACCGAGTGTTGACAACATCCAGACGGCGAACATTTCTGAGGCTCGAGGTTTTCGGACGCTTTCGTTGGTTTTCGGCGGGTTTCCAGCATCGGGGTGCCTTCCAGCAGCTGCGTCTCGCCGAGAGCGTTCCGGGGGCGCCTGGGTCGTCCCAAACGGCTGCCAGAGGCCCGAGTTTTGGCCCGAAACGACCCAGCGCCCCAGATCTCCCACTTGTTTAAAAATCACAACGCAGTTTCGTCTTGACTTTCGGCTCCCGGGGCCCTCGCAGGGCCCTGGGAGCGCCAAAAAGCGGCGCAGGATAAAAAGCCGGTCCTGGGGAAAGGGTCGGAATTTCCAGGATCGCGCATGGAAAAATCAGGAGCACCCGGTGCGGCTGCCCGCACTCGACGACGACGACGACGGCGGCGGCGACGGGAAGGAGGGCTCGGACCGACGAACTGGCGCTTCGGTAGCAACCCAGGGGAGCCCTGCATGTCCTCGCAACTGTGTCTTTGGAGTGCACTCGCGTGCGCTGGCGTCTCGAAGCCGACGAGCAAGCGCCGATTTGGGGTCGACTCGGCGCCGACTGACGTCGAGTAGCGATGGTCAGCGTCGATTCGCAGGAGCCAGCAGGATGACACAGTGAGCGGCTTGAATAAGGAACACTTACTTTTCAAAAGGGGCTCGGTCGTTCCCTAGGGTTGCATGCGTTATCTACAATTCCTCATGCGCTATGTGTTTTTTTATCGCTCCTTATGCGGCTATTCCTTGGGATAAACAGGGGGATAAACAGGGGGCTTGAGTCCGCTTTCGGGCTGCTCTGCAGGTCGAACTGGCGCCCATACCATCGTTCATGAGCCTTGCCGCACAGCTCAGGCAATGCGGACTGTAATTGAGGTCGGTGCCCGGCTATGGGAATGGCGGGAAAACACCATGTTGGCATTTTCTCGCAGTATGAGGGTTTGGTGCGGTGCCACAGGGATCCCTCCAGCTCCGGCTTGCGCGCGCCTGGCTTCGGCGAAGGGCCGTACTGTAGTCTTGCGCCCCTTGAGGCTCACAAGGGAGAATGCCGCCGAACGTCGGGCCGACTTCCTCTCGCCCCTCTGGGGAGGCATCGGACGCAGCCCTGTCCAGAATCGTCACGGCACCGAAGGTGACTGCAGCCGGGGCCTTGAACAAGGAACCTTTTTCGTTGGGGAGGGGCTCCGTGCTCCTTCATTGTTTTACAGCTTGCCTGAGGTTTTCCTTAGGGTTTCGATACGAAATCGAGGGATAACTTATGGAAAAAAGGGGCCCCGTTCCTTATTTTGGGTTCCTTAGGTCAAGGCCCCGACTGTACCCCCCGGTCTGCACTCTTGTGCAGCTGTCTGCGGCAAACCCCGCCCGCCTCGCCGGCGCAGCAGCGCAGCAGGGGGGAGGCTGGAGTCGAGGACCCGCCCCTGTGCAGCACCTCGTTTGGTCTGGCGCGCGTCTTGAGCACCCCATTCCTGGCCCGCAGCCTCGTTCTCCTCTGCCTTCCTCCTTCGGCCTCCTTGATGCTACAGTGCCGTTTTTCATACATGCTCCGCGTGCGGACCATGTATAAAAAATGCAGGGACTTAGTATGAAAAGCAACGATGAGTTCATGCGTAAATCTATTCATGAACGAATCATGTATTTTTAAATCCCATATTTGTTCAAAGATCCTATGTATTAAAAACTGCCCTGTACCAGGAAAAAAGCATATTGGGCGCTTATTTAATCGCTTCGCTCATTCCGCCGGCCCATACAGTCTCATGTCTGCCGTTTGCCCGAGGGCCCGGTGTCAATGCGGCGCTTTGGGGGTTCCTGGGGCCGCTTGGGGGACTCCTGGGGCGCTCGGGGGGGCATTTGGGGGACTCTTGGGGGCCTCCTGAGGGCCCCGTGGGGGCCTCTTGGGGCCTCTTAGGGGCCTCGTAGGGGCTTCTTAGGGCCGAGGGCTCGAAATGTTGTTTCGTGTTCCCTCTCTGGGGCCCCTTTGGGGGCGTTCTTGGGGCCCTCTTGGACCGTTTTGGAGGCTTCTTGGGCCGTCTTCGAGCCCTCTTGGGCCATCTTGGGGCCCTCTTGGGTGCCTCTTGGGCCCTCTTGGGGCGATCTTGGGGGCCTCTTGGGCCGTCTTGGGGCGTCGGGAAGCCGAAAAGGTGGAAGCTCCAAAATCTCTCAAAAACCTATGGAAAAACAATGATTTTTGCCTCCGGGGGCCCTATTGGGAGTGCTCTTGGAGGCCTCTTGGGGCGTCTGGGGGCTATCTTGGGCGTCTTGGAGCGATCTTGTGGCATGTCGGACCCCTCGTGTACCATCTTGGGGGCCTCTTGGGGGCCTCTTGGCCTTTCTTGGGGCTCTCGGGGACGTCTCGGAGCCCTGTTGGTGCGCTCATGGAGCGCTCGGGACCCGGCCGGGACCCGGCCGGGACCCGGCCGGGGACCGGCCGGGACCTGGTCGGGGTACTTTTCGTCCGGGGACCCCCAGGGGCCGCCCCGCGCGCGCGAACTAGAAAATTGTTAACCAGTTACCGGAGATCTTAGCACGCCTCTGGCCCGTTGGGCCGGCGAATTGGGGGCCTCCTCCGGGCCGCTCAAGGGCCTGCCGTGCACACTCTCGGGGGCCCTGCTGGGGGGGGGCCTCTGCTGGGGCGCGTCGTGGGTCTCTCCTGGGCGCGATGGTTCCACGACTCTCTCCCGAAGAGGCTCGATTGAGCCATCATCTTGGGGACGCCTGGTCCTCCTCCTTATCCTCCTCCTCCTCCTCCTCCTCCTCCTCCTCCTCCTCATCCTCCTCCTCCTCCTCCTCCTCCTCCAGGTCTTCGGGCCGTCCTGAAGCCTCAGCCTCTCTGGGGGTTTTCGGGCAGCCCTGGGACTATAGAGTACACTCGGGGCCGTCTTGGGGGCCTCAGCCTTCATGATTCGTAGCCCCACGCTTTCGGGGGGCAGTCTTGTGGGCGCCTTGATGCTCTCTGCAGATTATCCGAGTCGCTCTGAAACCGAAGTGTTTCATAATCAATCGTGTAATTGTCCAGTATGTGTTTCCACTGCGTTCGCTTACCGCTTGCTAGGCCGAATCCGGCCGTCTCTGGGCTGTCTTGGGGCGCTCGTGGGGCTGCTCAGGGTCGTCTTGGTGTCTTCTTGAGGCTCACAGAGCCCTTCCCGAGGCGATCCGGAAATGAGAGAGAGCGTGATCCACCGCCGCTTTACTGTGGAAAATTGCAGCCCTTTTCCTCCGGAACCCGGGGGTCCCCCCCCCCCCTCCGAAAATCCCCCCCCCCCCTGGATCCCCTCCCCACCCCCCCCCCCCCTTCCCCGGCAAACCCCCCCTCTCCCTACCCCCCCCCCCAAGCTCGATAACGGGGGGTGGGGTCACTACCGGTTCGACCCCCCCCCCTTCCGCCCCCCTTGAAAACCGGAGGGGGGGGTCACTACCAGTTCGAACCACTGAGCTGTCCCACTGTTCCCACCACTGTCCCCACTGTCCCTACCACTGTCCCACTGTACCTCTGTCCCGTTGTCCCACCGCCGTCCTCGCCACCGCCTTCACCACTGTCCCCACCCCCACCACCACTGTACCCTCCACTGTCCTACTGTTTCCACCACATTCCCACTGCCCCCACACCACTGTCCCCACCACCACCGTCCCCACCATTGTCCCACTGTCCCCACTGTTCCCACCATTGTCCTCACCATTGTCCCCACCACTACCGTCCCCACCACTCTGTCCCCACCACTGTCCCGCTGTCCCCTCACCACTGTCCCCACCACCACCGTCCCCACCACTGTCCGCACCCCCCCTCAGTTTTCGAGGGGGGGGGGGGGTTCGAACCAGTAGTGACCCCCCCCGGTTTTCGGGAGAAGACAGGGGGTGGTGTAATGTCAGGGGGGGTTTCGAACCGGTATGTGACCCCCCCGCCCCCCCCCAGGCTCACGCAGCTCTGCCCCAAACTGCACCGTTTCATTAGAACTGGGGGGGGGGGGAGGGGTTCGAACCGGTAGTGACCGCTCCCGGTTTTCTTTCCGGAGGGTGGAGGGGGGTGGGAGGGGGTGGTACCCGTAGTTGACCCCCCCCCCGTTTTCCGCTAGCAGCGGTAGAACACGCTCTTTCGGAAATGAACACCCTCGCAAACAAGATACCATTACGCTCTGTTTGCGTTTCAAGATTTTTGGTTTCAGGGGGTCTCGCTGGAGGCCTCTGTGGTCCTCTTGATGTGCCTGTTATGGAAGCTTCTTGCGCCCTCCTGATGTATATTCAGGGCATCTTGGAGCCTGTGGGGACTCGTTGGGCCGTCTTTGGGAAATCTTGGGGCGCCTTGTAACTTTTTTGGAGCGGTCTTTAGCTTTCTTGGAGTCGCCTGGAGCTCGAAAATGGCGTCAGAAAGAGAAACCAGGGGGGGCGATTTTCTGAGAACTCGTGCGGGTAGGGGGGGAGGGGGGGGGGGTGGCCGTACAAAGCAGTAGCCAAACCCTACCAGACAACAGACACATCCTACCACGCTCCACCGGTCCGAAGGCAGCAAGGTGGCGGACTGCTCTGTTGTGGAGTTCCAAGTGCCACTTATCTGCCTGACTGCAGAAGAGGGGGAGGTGCCTGAGCTAGGGCGATGAATGGCAGGGCTTTTCCGACCCGCGGGCCACCCCCCCCGCCTTCACTGCATCAGCCTACGGTAAGTTCGTATCGTTCTGACGCGGCAGCGATTCCGCCTCGGTCGTTCAAGGATCAACGCCGCCAGTTACCCAGACTCGGCCAACATGGAGCGATCAGGCAAGCGAGAAACCGCCGATAACGGTGGCTGAACGCTCCACGAAGTGTCAAAAACCAGCGCGAAAGTCGTCACGACACGAGCCTGCCGCATGCCCTGACTCTGGAGCCGCCGTACTTTGGTTGATTCCCATCTGAAAACTGATAGAGCACAGCTTGTCTGATCTTGTCTGTGGCCACAGGCCGGACACGTTCCAGGGCTAATTCGTATCTTTCGCCGTGTGATTTTCCTACCTCCTACTCCGCACCCCTCTCGCCAGGAATTGAGCCACATTTTGTTGGGGATCGTTCTCCTGAGCAGTGGCGGACATCGCCCGCGCATCGAGCCCGTGACTCGTCCTTGGTGCTCCTCTGTCCGCAGGTGGGGGGGGGGCAGGATCTCGGCATCGCTCGGACGTGTGCATTTTTCCGTCGGCGAGGACAGTCGAAGAGCATCCTTGATCATTTGGCGAAAAAGCCACGCTTGAGACCGAAAAAAGCACAGGGAATGGACGTCCGAGCGATGGCGAGGGATTTGTCCGCCTTCTCCGCGGGAGCTAACCGACCCATCCCACGCAATCCGGTCACCCAGCCGCGGCCGAGCTTCGGCCACGGTCCCAGGACGCGGCCTGGCGAGGGCCCCCGCAGCCCTTCTGATCATCGGCAGGGCTGGCACGGCACTGGCGCTGCACAGGGGTCATCGCCCCCTCGAGGGGCAGCGGATCGGTCGGTGCCAGCTCCCCTCTTCTCCCTCCCCCCGCAAAAAAAGTCAGGGGCAGCAGCGTGGAATGGGGATTCCCCGCTGCACCACCTCCTCCTCCTCCTCCTCCTCCTCCTCCTCCTCATCCTTTTCCGCCTCCTCCTCCTCCTGCTCCCCGTCCTCCGCATCGGCCTTCTCCTCATTCTCATCCTCCAGGCCCTCCATCCTCCTATCGTGCCAATGTGCTTCCTCCTCCACCGGCACCTGTTCATAGAACCCCCTGAAACGCGACCGTTCCTTCATCCTCTCCTCCGTCCTCGTCGTCGTCGTCCTGCCCATCCTCCTCTTCCCGCCCCCTCTCTTCTTCATCTTCCTCCTCCTCAGTCTCCTCCTCCTCCTCCTCCTCCTCCTCCTCCTCCTCCTCCTCCTCCTCCTCCTCCTCCTCCTCCTCCTCCTCTTGCTCGTGCTGCTGCACCTCCTGCTCCTCGGGCGGTGGCGCTCGCGGGCGGGTTGACATGTGTCGCTTGGTTGCGGTTGCGGTTGCGGTTGCGCCCGCGGGCGGGTTGACGGGTGCCGCTTGGTTTCGGTTGCGGTGGCGCCCGCGGGCCTGGTTGCGGTTGCTGTTGCGCCCGCGGGCGGGTTGAAATGCATCGCCTGGTTGCGGTTGCGGTTGCGGTTGCGGTTGCGCCCGCGGGCGGGTTGACATGCGTCGCCTGGTTGCGGTTTCCGTTGCGGTTGCGGTTGCGCCCGCGGGCGGGTTGAAATGTGTCGCTTGGTTTCGGTTATAGTTGCGGTGGCGCCCTCGGGCGTGTTGAAATTTGTAGCTTGGTTGCGGTTGCGGTTGCGCCCGCGGGCGGTGCGAAATTTGTCGTTTGGTTGCGGTTGCGGTTGCGGTTGCGCCCGCGGGCGGGTTGACATGTGTCGCTTGGATTCGGTTACAGTTGCGATTGCGCCCTCGGGCGTGTTGAATTTTGTCGCTTCGTTGCGGTTGCGGTTGCGCCCTTGGGCGTGTTGAAATTTGTCGCTTGGTTGCTGTTGCGGTTGCACCATTGGGCGTGTTGAAATGTGTCCTTTGGTTGCGGTTTCGGTTGCGGTTGCGCTCGCGGGCGGGTTGAAATGTGTCGCCCGGTTGCGGTTGCGGTTGCGCCCTTGGGCGTGTTGAAATGTGTCGCTTGGTTGCGGTTGCTCTTGCGCTTGCGTTTGCGGGCGGGTTGAAATGTGTCGCCTGGTTGCGGTTGCGCTCGCAGGCGGTTTGAAATGTGTTGTCAAAAGTGCACTTCCAGTTCAGCGTAGTTCAGTCCAGCTCAGTCGGTCAGTCAGCAGAAGGCACGGATCTTCACCCGCCTCCGCCGGGAATCATATGAAAAATGTGTAGGACATGCGTACCAAACGATGCGAACTACCATTCTTCGCTTGGGAATCTGGTGCGACGGCTTTGTCCGCAAGCGATCCGCGGAAACAGCGACGGCAAAGCAGGGCGGAAGTCGGCACCGCGGGAGCTTGAGCAGCAGGGCGAAGATCTCCGCCGCGCCCGCGAGATCGCCCAGAGCAGGGCGGGTCCTGGAGTCCTGGCCCCCTGAGCCCAGCCCCCGCCAACGCAGCCCCTTGGTTCTCGGGCCATACAGGCCTCGGGAAAAAATAGCGAACACTCCTGCCACATTCATCTGTGAACGCCTCCCCCTCCCCCCAATGTTCAAAGTTGGCGGCGGGTCGGATGAGTTGCACCTCGACCGCAGCCTCCCCCGCGCGTGCCAACCTCGAGCTTGGGGGGCAGGGCGGATGTTCACTGATTGTTCCCCTCTGCCGCAGCTCGGCTCTCCGACGGCCGTTCGGGGCGACCCGGCCACCCCCGGGACGCCCTCGGCGAGGCGCGGCCGCTCCTCCCTCCTCCTCCTCCTCCTCCTCCTCCTCCTCTCCTCCTCTCTCCTCCTCCTCCTCCTCCTCCTCCTCCTCTCCTCCTCCTCCTCCTCCTCCTCTCTCCTCCTCATCCTCCTCCTCCTCCTCCTCCTCCTCCTCCTCCTCCTCCTCCTCCTCCCCCTCCCCCTGGCAGGCATCCCGACGCCGGAGAGACGCAGAGAACCGACGACCACGCCCGAAAGCCTCGAGCCTCGAGCCTCGACCGGCCGGGTGCGATGCCAGAGCGCCCCACCGAGGACCTCCGCGACCTCGGTGCTGGCCCAGGTGGGCGAGGCCGCCCCCGCGCCGAGCTCGAGCGCGGCGGTCCAGGAGATCCTGCGCGTGGCAGGCGAGCTGCAGGCCGCTGGCACCTGGCGGCCAGACTGCAAGGAGCCCATGGCCCCCCCCTGCTTCCTCCAGCTCGCCCTCCGCTCCTCCTCCCTCCTCCTCCTCCTCCTCCTCTCCTCCTCTCCTCCTCCTCCTCCCTCTCCCTCCTCCCCTCCCCTCCTCCCTCCTCCCTTCCTCCCTCCTCCTCCTTCCCTCCTCCTCCTCCATCCTCCTCCTCCTCCTCCTCCTCCTCCTCCTCTCCTCCTACCCTCCTCCTCCTCCCTCTCCTCCTCCTCATCCTCCTTCCTCCTCCTCTCCCTCCTCCTCCTCCCTCCCTCCTCCTCCTCCTCCCTCCTCCTATCCTACCTCCTCCTCCTCCTCCTCCTCCTCCTCCTCCTCCCCGGTGTCAGGCGAGCCGCACGTGTCACGTGAGCGTGTTCCCAGTCGGCGCTTCGGCATTGGGCGGGAAGCGGGGGCAGGGGGGAGGTGGGGGGGCTCCGGCTCCGTCCTACGACTGCCCGGCCGGGCATTTCAGAGCGCTGCCGCTCTCGAGCTTCGGGGGCGGCAAAGGGGGGGGGGAATGACTAGGGGGGGGTGGATGTCATGGCCGGGGCCACGATCTTGCCCCAGATTTCATGGCGCCTCCTCTCATTCCATCGCGTCCCTGGTTCCCCCGCAGGGCCGCGCACATGCCGCCGGTCATAATTTGCGCCCCCCCTCTTGGACGCCCCCCTCTTGGCCGCCCCCGAGAGCTGGTTCCGGTAACCGACGGGTTCGGATATAGCTCCCGCAAGGGGAGGCGGATCAGATGCTCAGTCGAGCTTCTCTTGCCTGTGAGTTTTTGCTAGCGGGCGGGGATCGTTCCCCAAACAGTGCTTGCATTTAGGGGTTCTTACTTTTGTTATACGGAACTTGGCCGTGTCTGTCTGTTGTCTGGCGGCTATGTGGCCGCCGTCGCCGCCCCGTCGCCGCCTCGTCGCCGCCCGTCGTCTGGACCACGTCTTCGGTCTGGCGACTATGTGGCCGCTGTCACCGCCCCGTCGCCGCCTCGTCGCCGCCCATCGTCTGGGCCGTGTCTTCGGTCTGGCGGCTATGTGGCCGCCGTCGCCGCGCCGTCGCCGCCCTAGATTGCACAACATACATTGCACCGCAGATTCTCTGTTCTAGAAGAAGAATAGACTCTACCCCCCCGGGAGTTAACGGTACACCTTTTCGTATTGCAATGTAGATATGATTCTGCCCCAACGTCCATCCTTACTATCCCAGCCAGGATGGTATCGACACCATCCCGCTATCCTCTGCAACAAATTCTATGCGCGCATTCTCGTTTATCACAAAGCATGAGTTTGCAGCACTTGCAAAACATGAAACGAAGTGCACATGCGCGCGTCGTCACGCGCGCATGCCGAAATCCTTCAAAAACTTTCGGTTTCGGGAGGATTGCAAAATCGAGTTTCCAAAACACATAAAAAACACAGGGTTTCGCAACACTGTTTTTTCATATAAAAAACACGTACACGCGCATTCTCGCGAAATCGTAGAAAATCATACGTTTTCAAGATTTTCAAGAAATGCTACCAAAACGCCTTCGCGCGCGTATGTCGAAATCGTTCGAACGCCCTTGCGCGCGTCTGAGGTGGCAAGATCCGTCTTAAATAATACCATGCGGGCCACTCTTGCGCGTCTGCCGCGCGCGCGTTTCGAACTCCTTCCAAAACCTTCATCACCGATGCGACGACCCCGCCATCCTCGTCGGCGTGATCAGCATCGGCGCCGTCATTGGCTGCCCCGTCGTCGATGTCAGCATCGTCACCAGCATCGCTACTATCATCTTCGTGTCTACCGTTGTCGACGTGGCCATCCGCTCACGTCGCCGACTCCACTGAAGTGCCTGCTGCAATGTGCCGAGCGGTCAGCGCCACCGCGGCCACGTCGGTCCCGCCAAACTACCTGGCCGCCGCGCGCGCGCGCATGCGCGGGCTGGCGCGGCCGCAGAGATGCACCAGCCAACACCAAGCACTCCTCGCAATCGCCGCCGCATGGGTTTTGCAAACCAAGTTGCGGGTGGGTGGGTGGGATGTTTGCGCGAGCAGTGGAGTGGACAACTCATTGCGAACAGACATGACTTCTCATTTCTGAATCGGAGATAGGTTCTACCACTCACCCAACGGGGTTAAAACTTCACCTTTTCGTATTGCAATTTTCGTATGATGTTGACCCACTGTCCATTTTACCTGTGAATTCATACTACCCCAGCTAGGCCGGCATCGCCCACCCCCTGCCATCCTCTGCAAACAATATCATGCGCGCACACGCGCTCATCAAACATCATAAACGTTTAAGATTCCCTTGCAAAAGATGGGACGAAGTGCGCGCGCGCCTCGTCGCGCGCGCGTGCCGGAATCCTTCCACAACCTTCGGTTTCGGAAGGATTTCAAAATCGAGTGTCAAAACTTTTTGTGTTAACACAAGGTGTCGCAACACGACTTTTCAAAACCAAAAAACATGCGCGCGCGCTCTTGCGAACTCTTAAGAAACCTACAAGTTGTTTTCAACTGGTTCAGAACATGCTACCAAACGGGCTTCGCGCGCGCGCATGTCGAAATCTGTCGAACGCCCTTGCGCGCGTGCCGTCGCGAGAATCCTCTGCAACAAATGAGACGAAGTGCACGCGCGCGCGTCGTCGCGCGCGCATGCCAAAATCCTCCAAAAACCTTCGGCTTCCAGCGGGTTTCGCGACACGGATTTTCAGCACAAGCGTGCGCGCACGCTCTTGCGAATCCTGAAGAAAACCATTGGTTTCTCATCATGTTCATAAAATGCTACCAAACGGGCTTGGCGCGCGCATGTCGATATCGTTCGAACGCCCTTGCGCGCGTGTTGGGGTGGCAGGATTCGTTTTAAAACATACCATCCGAACCATGCTCGCGCGTCTGCCGCGCGCGCGTTTCGAACTCCTTCCAAAACCTTCATCATCGACGCGAACACGTCGTCGTCGTCGTCGGCGCGATCAGCATCGGCGCCGTCACTGGCCGTGCCGTCGCCGCCGTCAGCATCGTCACCAACATCGCTACTATCATCATTATCATCATTATCATCGTGTCTACCGTCGTCGACGTTGCCATGATACCGCGCCCGCCCAACTCGCCGACTCGCATTCAATTGCCCGCTGGGATGCGCCGAGCGGTCAGCACGCGGCCACGTCGGTCGCGCCAAACTATCTGGCCGCTGCGCGCGCGCATGCGCGGGCTGGCGCGGCCGCAAAGATGCGCCAGCCAACGCCAAGCACTCATCGCGATCTGCTGGCGCATGAGGTTTGCAAACCAAGTTGCGCGGGGATGGGTGGGGTGTTTGCGCGAGCAGTGGAGTAGACAACTTAAGATGAGAGCAAGTGATTGATTGTCTTTTTTATGTTCCATATACGAAAAGGTTCTCCCCCCCCCCGACTTAACGACCCCCTTTTTCATGTTGCAATTTACACACGATTTTGCCCCCATCGTCATTCCTACTGTCCCAGGGCGGCCGGCATCGCCCCTCCCCGCCATCCTCTGGAGAAAATTCTATGCGCGCACACTCGCTTACCAAACATCATAAGGTTTCAAGAATTCGTCGCGAAAAAAAAAGGGACGAAGTGGACACGCGCGCGTCGTCGCGCGCGCATGCCGAGATCCTTCGAAAACCGTCGGCTTCGGAAGGGTGGCACAATCGAATTTCCCCCCAAAGCATACGAACACACAGGGTTTCGCAACGCGGATTTTCTGCAAAAGCTTACGCGCGCTCCTGCGAAATCTTAAGAAAAGCAAGGTTTCCAACATGTTCCCAAAAATCCGACCAAACGGGCTCCGAGCGCGCGCATGTCGAAATCGTTCGAACGTCCTTGCGCGCCTGCCGTCGCGAGCTTTCTCAGCAAAAATATGGGGCGAAGTGCGCTCTCGCATCGTCGCGCGCGCATGCCCGAATCTTTCAAAAACCTTCGGTTCCGGAAGGATTTCAAAATCGAGTGTCCAAACAAAAACAAAAACACATGGTTTCGCAACACGGATTTGCAACAAAAGCGTGCGCGCGCGTTCTTGCGTCGTCGTCGTCGTCGTTGTCGCGGGTGGGATGTTTGCAAGAACGTGGGATGTTTCAACTCGTTTGTTAAAATAAATTCCAAAAAAAAAAGGTTTTACCACCCTTCCCCCCCAGGTCTTACTTATTCCCCTGTTCACACAGCAAGTGACATATGATTCTGTCCAATCGTCCATCCTAAATATGAACCTACACCACCCCAGTACCCCCCCCCCCCGCCATCCTCTGCAACAAAATGCAACAAACTATGCGCGCACACTCGTTTATCAAACTTCATAAGGTTTCAAGAATCCGTTGCAACAAATGGGCGCAGTGCACACGCGCGCGTCGTCGCGCGCGCATGCCGAAATCCTTTACAAACCTTCGGTTTCGGAAGAGTTTAACAATCGAGTTCCCGAAAAACATACGGGAACATAGGGTTTCGCAACACGGATGTTCTGAAAAAGCTTACGCGTGCTTTTGCGAAATCTTAAGGAAGCCCTGGTTTCTCAACGTGTTCCCAAAATTCTTCCATGCAGGCTTCGCGCCCGCATGTTGAAATCGTTTGAATTTCCTTGCGCGCGCGCCGTCTCCAGAATCCTCTGCCGGAAACAAGACGGAGTGCACGCACGTGCGTCGTCGCGCGACCCAATGTCCATCTTTCTTGTGAACTCATACTATCCCAGCCAGGCAGGTATACACGCGCGAGTCGTCGCGCGCGCATGCCGCAATCGTTCGCAAACCTTTGTTTCCGGAGGGATTTCAAAATTGAGTGTCCAAAAAATATACAAGAACACTTGGCTTCGCAACGCGGATTTGCAACAAAAGCGTGCGCGCTCTGGCGAATTCTTAAGAAAACCATAAGTGTTCAACATGTTCAGAAAATGCTAACAAACGAGCTTCGCGCGCGCATGTCGAAATCGTTCGAACGCCCTTGCGCGCGTGCTGGGGTGGCACGATCCGTGTCAATTAACACCACGCGAGCCACTCTCGCGCGTCTGCCGCGCGCGCAT